AGGAAAGGAAAGGAAAGGAAAGGAAAGGAAAGGAAAGGAAAGGAAAGAAAAAAGAAAAGAAAAGAAAGAAGAAAAGAAAAGAAATTAATTCTGAGGCTGAAAACAATGTGAAAGAATTCATGCAGAGAAGTAAAAGAGCTGAAGTTGCCTCTTGTCCCTAGGTCATCTGCTGATGTCTGAAGATGAGAACTTTCATTTTTAGATAGTAGCATGTAGAATCCAAGAAACAAAGCTTAGAATCTATCTATGGTGGGAAGTCACACTGAAGACACCTGCGCGGAGCTTAATAGAGAACTTTTAAACAAACTTTAGAACTAGCAAAACAATCCCAGAAGGAAGGTCTGAATTGTAAAAAAAAATATTTTACGTGGGAACTTGGTAGATTTTTTAAATTTAAGAAAGAATGAAAGGGCAAGAACATATAAAACATTCCTGAAGAAGAGCAAAATGGGTGTTTGTGGAGGTTAGGAGGGTCCACAGTTGTAGTTAGTAAATGTATGTGGGATTGATGCAGAACTAGACTTATAAATTAATAAAGAGCCAAAAACAGACACATACATACATGGAAACCTAATTATGTTAAAGTTTGCATCGCAAATATTTGGGGAAAGAAGAAACTATGCATTAAATCATGCTGAGACAATAGGTCATGCATCATAAATATGGGGGATGTAGGTGGGGTAGAAGCACACCCCTGTTGAAAGACAATACTCTATCAGATCTTTCACACTTCTCCATATCTTGCAAACAGAAGCACTGGCTGTCTTTATTCCAGACTATCTTCTCAAGGATAATTACAAAGCAAACAGTCTTGGAAGAGAGAGATAGTATCTCCCTCTGGAACAAAGGGCAGGTTTGATTACTCTCCAGTATAATAAAGATAAGGTGTCCCTCTGGGACAAGCCATGCTTACTGCCATTATAAATACAAGGCTTCCTTTGCCAGTGTAAATACACTCCTTTGGAGTTCCTCTTCCAAAATGTAACCCACTCTATATGCAGTAGTCACCCGACCTTTGAGTCACCCTACGTGATTGAGGGCTGAGGAACGGGCATGAATGTTGACATTCTAGCTACTGCTATTATTGTGAGTAACAAGAATCTGTGTCTACTTCTTCAAGCTATGTGGTAGAGTCACGCATGTTTGTTTCATCATTATTTTTTTATTATATTTTTATAAAATTTTTTTATGTTTATTTTTGAGAGAGAGGGAGAGAAAGTGAGAGTGGGGGAGGGGCAGAGAGAGACAGGGACAGAGGATCTGAAGCATGCTCTGCACTCGCAGCAGAAAGCCTGATGCAGGGCTCAAACTCACCAACCAGGAGATCATGACCTGAGCCAAAGTTGGACAGTTAACTGACTGAGCCACCGAAGTGTCCCTATTTCACTATTATTTTTTTAAACCTTACATATATGAAATACCATTTGATATGTCAAATATTTTATAATAGGAAAAAATTCAAGTGACACAAGGACCTAGTGGTCCTTCATTCTTTTGCTAGACATTGCTGTGTAGGCACAAATGCCTGGAATCAAAACACTCATAATAGCCATTAATGGGAAATGATCTTGAAGAGAAATGCTGAGGGGTATAAAGAAGGAAGATAGAAGAAATTGTGCTTGATGATAACATTAAATTACTGAATTAAGAAATTCGGGAACTTTTCTACTTCTAGACTTTCTGTTATATAAGAAGGTGAATCCCCCATTAAAAAAAAAAACTACTAAAATATACTCAGAAAGCAAAAACTAAAACAAAGCAACAACAAAAAATATGATTTACTCCTCAGATTTTAATCTGTGAGATTATTTGATTGTATCCATGAGATTTCAAGGAGATTTATATATCATTTTTGCCAATTACCTCTACTTTTTAAATTTTTAAATTTAGTTTTAAATCAGGTATAATTTACACATAGCAAAATGAACTGTTCTTAAGTATCTATGTTGATGAGTTTCGACAAATGCACATATCCACGTAACTCACATTCCAATGAAGATAAAAAATAGTCTGAAAACCCTAGCCCACCCAAGCAAACAATGTTCTAATTTCTTTCAATATAAATTGGTTTTTCTTGTCTTTGAACTCACATAAATGCAACCATACAGTATGCACTCTCTTTTGTTGGGCTTCTTTTGCCCAGCAATATGCTTTTAGTACTCAGCCATATTGGCATAAATTTTAGTAATGGTTCATTCAATAATGGCGTTTAATGCATCACAGTGTGCTATCCATCTACTTTAGGACATTTGAGGTGTCTCTAATTTTTAATATTATTAATAATGCTCCTATGAATACCTACGTACATGTATTCTTGTATAAATATGCTTTCATTTCTCTCAGGAAAAGTACCAAGAGAAAAAATTGTTAGATCATGAGATTAGGAATATATTTTATTTATGAAAAACTGAGAGACACATTATCAATCCCCTGCAGCAATGTACGAAATTCAGGTGTTTTACATCTTTGCCAACATTTGGTTTATCAGTTTTCTAAATTTTAATCATTCTAATGGACATTTAATTACATTTTGTTATGGTTTTATTTTTTATTCCCCTGATGACTAATGATGTTGAGCTTATTTTTATTTGTTTATTGGTCACTCATTTATAATCTTTTGTGAAGTGCCTTTTCAATTTTTTTACCCATTTGGTGGTGGATTATGGGTGGGGGGGAGGAGATTATCTCTTATTTTTTACAAAATATAGAAATCTTTTATTTCAGATGAAAGTTTTCTGTCATATATACATATTATAAATATTTTCTTTCAGTTTGTGGCTTCATATTGAACTTAGAAATGCTGTCTTTTAGTAATATTTAATTTTTATGAAATGCATTTCCTTTGTCTTTCTTTTATTAGTAGTGCTTCCTTGAGTTTATCAAGGGATCTTCCTTGAGTTTATCAAGGGTGTGATCCACACCAAGTTCACAAAGATATTCTTCCACATTTTCTTCTTGAAGCTTTGCGTTGTTAATTTTCCTTTTAGGAATATAATCCACCTGTAATTAATTTTAATCTAAGGTGTGATTTTTTTTATCGTTTATTTATTTTTGAGACAGAAAGAGACAGAGCATGAACGGGGGAGGGTCAGAGAGAGAGGGAGAGAGAATCTGAGAGAGGGAGAGGGAGAGAGAATCTGAAACAGTCTCCAGGCTCTGAGCTGTCAGCACAGAGCCCGACGCGGGGCTCGAACTCATGGACCCTGAGATCATGACCTGAGCTGAAGTCGGACGCTTAACCGAGCCATCCAGGCACCCCATAATCTATGGTGTGATTATATATTGAGGTATATATTGAAGTTCATTTTTCTCCTTATAAATAGCCACTTGTTCAAGTATCCTCAGTCATAATAACTTCCTTTCTATACTGAGTTACCTCACTGCCTTCGTCAAAAAATCAATTGACTGTACAAATGTGGATCTATTTCAGGAACTTTTTTTGGTTCCATTGACCTACTATCTATTTTTACCCCATTACCATTCTGTCTTGATTACTGCAGCTTTATAATAAGTCTTCAAATTAGGTAAGTCCTCCAAATTTTTTTCTTCTTTTTATTTGTGAGACTCTTCTGGGTCTTTGCATTTCCATATGAATTTTAAAATCAGCCTGACATTTCAAAACATTATTTAAAAACTTTCTGCAATTTGGTTGAGAATGTAGTAGAGCTATAGCTCACATTGGGAAGAAAGGTATCTTAACAATATTGGGTATAGTTTATCCATAATCATGGTGTATCTGCCCATTTATTTTAATACTCTCTAATTTACCTCAGGAATGTTTCAGAGTTTGCAGTGTATAGATCTTGTATGTTTTTCTTTAAGTGTATTCTTTAGCATTTACATTTTTGATACTAATGTAAATGGCATATTTTTAATTTCCATTTCCCAAATGCTTATTTCTTAAAAT